ACAGGTGGAAGCATCTTTAACGTTAATTTAACATTCATCAGTCTTTTAACAGGTTTCTTTTCTTATTTATAATAATAAATATTATTTTTCTCACCATTTAATTGGAGAGGGGGAAAAAAAAGCTAATTTTGTTTCATCTTTGACAAGTTTGCAGACAGAAACAACAGGAAAAAAAACCATTTTGTGCTCCAGATCATCATCTTAAATCTGGTAGCGATCAAGTAATTAATCTGCTTCTATGAATGATGAGTTGATACCATAGATGGCATGTCCAGTTCTTGCTAGACAGGTATCTATATTCCCCACCTCACGTTCCTTTTTGGTAGGAAAAACTGGTGGAAGTATCATATCTTCCTGTTATCCTTCGTGATGGATTTTCTAAACAAAATACATTATAACAAGAAGGAACAAAACTTAGTACTTCTACTACTTATTCTTATGCTGTTAGGAGAATAAACACCTATTTCTAGTCCCCAGTTGTTAAATCTGGCACCTTTCCCCAAGGTAAGTACATGATTAAATCCACTCCTTTGAGTTGCAATAACACTGAATTACAGAAATTCATCAGGGAAAGATTAGAATGTTTAGAATGTTTTGGGGGCTTTTGTGGGTTGTTTTTTGTTTGTTTGTTTGTTTTGGTCTTTTGGGTTTGGTTTTTTTTTGGCCTCTTCCCCCCCAGCTCCCCTCCAATTACAGTATAATGAACTCTGCAAAGAGAAAACCTAAGAACAAGTGACCAAAAGTCCATTTATTCTCATGTCTTTTCTCTGTTGATGGAGAAAGTTGTCAATAGATTTAAAAAGGAGAAAAAGCACAACTACATCTTTAGAAAGTCTTTTGTTTGCTCATATTTTGTCATGTGAATACAGTACTTTAAATTTATAGCACTGTAAAATATACCAAGAGAAGGCGGGTAACCCCATCCCTACAGTCATAAAAGCAAAAACTTCATCCAGATGGAGTAAACGACCTAAGGTAGATGTTCTACTTGGTTGCAACTCCAAGTTTGACCCTGTTTCCAAATAGAAATGAAAGAACAGCAGAATAGGAATGTATCGTTAATACTAGAGAGATTCTGGTGTTAGGTATTCAAAATACTGTCATCCTTATAATGATTAAATGCAGTACTTCTTCCACTCACACATCCCAACTTTTTCTAAAAATAAAACAAGAATTGTCCTTTTCATTAAACCTTTATCACCTATATGATGAACTCTTTTCCTTCACAAAGAAAGCACATTAAGAACAGCTTCAATATGATTTCTTAGGAACAAACTACTATCACTTTTTCCCATCACAGATAGATTATTGCAGAAAGCCTTGATGGGATTTGAGCTTATCCTATTAGAATCATAGTGTATTATTCCCAGAGGCTGGTTTTTTGTTTGTTTTTGGATATTTTTTTTCCCCCAGAGATATAACAAAACTCTTTAAAATACTAAATGTAACAGAAATTGAGTATAAATGTCCCTGACCACAGTGCTATGAGTTCTTTGGAATAAGTATGTTATATGTAAAAATAAATAAATAAATAAAAATCCAGTTTTGCTACATTTGACAGTAGATTACTTGAATGAGAATTAAAATTAGAGAATAGAAAAAAAAGACACTATTTCAGAACAGACTATAATTAGCTTAATAGACTTTGTTTATTTCTCACTCTCTATCCACAATGACCTTACCTTTTTTTTTTATTTTATTTTATTTTTTTGTCTTTGCCACAACCAGTTAGCTATCACAGGTTGCATCTACTGCAGCCAGGGACAGCAGTGTAGTTATCTGAGGAGACAAAGTATTCTTCACACAGATATTCAGCTTTCCTTCTACTGCTGCTATTGTCAAAGTAGTAAATATTTAAATGATGCAGTTATAAAGGTAGATAGCTGGTATATTGGCAACAACTGCAAGAGTGGTACAAGACAACCTGGGAAAGAGCTGGGAGTTGCATATCTCTAAAGTTAAGATATAAAATCAAAATCTCTCATACTTTCACTTGGACAGTAAGATTAACTTGAAACTGACATTAGAAAAGCATAGAGCACTCAGAGCTGCACTTGGGTGTCTCTCATCAAGGTCTTTACTATGGTTTTATGGAGTAAATGAAAACTGCTGTTGTTTCTGAAATATAAGTAGTGTTGTCTGACAAACAAACAGCTCATTGCACAGATAAAAAAAATTAATAAATAAGATACTGATTGTGTGTTTGTATCCATTCTCCTGAAATAAAAGCAGGTGTTTAAGTAGGAGCTGTGGAAAATAAAATTTAAAATAAACTAAGTAGTGTTGTGCTAGGAATAAATTGAAATATTGTTTTCTTAATCTCCTCACACCCATGCAGTTTTCTGAACTACATTTAAGAAAGAGCTATAGATTGTGAGGCTTAAGACATTGGTATGTTTGATTAGAAATCCAAGTTCCATGCCTTTTGTTTTGGTAGAATATTTTTAAAGCCCTGGAGAGGTGGAATTGCTCATGTACTGTAGAAGTTAAACTTGAAACTGAAAAGGGAAACAACTTTTTTCCAACCTTTACTATTTTCCAGATAATAATTCAAATTTAAATCAGAAGCTGAAACACTAAGAAAATAATTGTAATAACAAATTTGGTTACCTCCTCCACTTCACTTAAGGGCTGAAAATATTCAATTTGAAGCTAAGAGTTCTCCTCCAACTCTGGAATCATCAGGGAAAAATAGGATTCCTGAATCAGAAAAATAATGTCATTCAATATCAAGAAAAGGTACAAACTTAGGTTCCAGCTGTACTTGAGGTATTTACTCACTCTTTTTTTTTCCTAATGAATCATAGGGCTGTAGCTTCTACCACAGTTATATGTTGCTCCTTTCAACAATACTGCTTTTGCTCCCTGGGGTGGGTGGGGGGAATGTAGGAAAAGAAATATGAAATGAACATAAAAAATTTGAAAGGAATCACTTCAGAAAAGATAAAAGGACGAGAGAAAAAGAAAGAATGACTCATATTATTCAGGCACTATATTGAGATTTAGAAGTTCTTGACTTTGACATAGACTTCTTGTAGTTTTAGATACGTTGCGTAGGAGGCAAATGTTGTTGAGTAACTAATTGTAGAGTAACCAGGTTCCAAACACTGGTGGTTCTTGATGTGGCCTGATAACATCTTCTCAAGGTGAGATCACCCTTTCTTTTAATTCCTACTCTGAAAAATTGGAATAACATATAGCTGCTTCATGAGGGTGTTGGGTCTCCTCATGAATGTCTGTATCCCACTGCAAAAAAATGCCTCTCCACATGAAAAGTAGTGTTGCAGTGATGGAGAACTCACACACCTTTGGGAGAACTGAGGTAGGAGAAAAGAAAAGAAAAGAATGAAGATTGGATGTTCAGCTTAAATGGAAGGATGAATGGGAACTGCAAGTACCATGTGCAAAAACCATTTACAAGTCTGTCATAAAGTTACAGCTTATTTGCTGTTTTGTTCCTTTTAAAAGAGAGTTCTGATCAGGAAGGAAACCTGCATCATAGAAGCCCATGAGATTTGTGATTTTTTACTACCAAGGATTGTCTTATCTTGTTTCATCATCATAAAAACATCTATGGCTTGGAATAAAACAAAACTGAAAGAGCTTTTCCAGCACCAGCATAATTAAGGAACAATAAGGTGAGCTGGAGCTGGTCAGCCAAGGAACAAAGAAGCTGGTCAGCTCTTGCTTCTCAGCAGGAGCAAATGGATTGCCTTTCACCACCCCCTGCTAGCAACATGGGGATGTATATTTCTGTACTCCTTTACCTCAGCTTCCCTTTAAGAAGCAAGCAAAATGTCAGCCTCCTAAGGAATCCAGCTACATCAAAACCGAGCAAGAGCATTATGGACCCATTCGAATATCACTCTGACAGTATCATCCAGTCTCTCCCCTTGACTGCCCTGCTCCAGCTAGACTTTTTTGGTATGGTATTAGTAGAGTTCATTAGTTTTTCGGATGAGGCTTTATTTCAAACACTCCAAAGTTAGAGGAACATGAAATATGTCTGTGGGGAAAGGGAAAAATCTAGATTGAAGGTCCTTTCACTCATGTATTTGGCTTAGCATTTCCTCTGTCAAGGAAGGATTTGACAGGCCATTTACAGCAATGCTGATCATTTTGGCCATTAGACTGTCACAGACAGGCTATTTTCTTCAGCATGGTTTGTGGTGGAAAATTTGTATGACCTAGGCTAATTGAAGAATTAAATGGCAAAATATATTTGGTGTGTCTGGGCTCCTTCCCGTGTTTCTAACAGAAGTCCAAGGAGAGAGAAGTTCAGTGCAAAGGGAGGCTTTGTTCAATTAAGTTGACCTACCTTTTACCAAGTGGTTCTTCGGGAGCTATTCGGGTTTTCTCTGCAGTAGTTCTGGGTGGTTCACTGGTTCCCAGCTTCTGCTCATCCTTTGCTGCTACATCCTCTGCTTTCTCCAGAAGGAGAGTGAGGATATGAGTAAAGTAGGTGGTTTTAATAGGAGATGCAAGAAAACACATGACCAATCTTTAAAAATTATTTGCAGGGATTGTTATAACCTAATGGTCTTAGCTGTTATTCAGAGACATTTCCAGTGAAGTAAGTTGTTTTGACTGAATTAATCTTCAGAACTACATTCACAAACTCTAGAATTTAGCCAAAAATTTACTGCAAATAGTATGTTAAATACAATTACAAAAAATATTTCAAATGTATTCACTAAAATTATTTTTTTCTTTATCAGTTTCTGGTTTTTTTCTGCATTTCACAGGCAAACTATTGGCCCAACCTTTGGCTGAATGCCTATGAAACAGTAGTTCTGCTAACAGTTTATTGATGTTGCTTTCTTATGATTCAACATCTGGTTTTGGTATTAATTATTTAGCTTGTATAGCATTGGCTGTCAGAGAGTAAACAACAAAATAGCAGATTGAATTACAGAAAGCAAAAATCAACCAGCCACAAAGAATGTAGTAAAACTGTTAGACAACGCAAACTAGAAAATTATTTTCTTTCAGTTACAGAAATGGACTGCCATTTTTCTGTCTGGGGAGTTTTGGCCTTTCTGAGTTTGGCTCTGGTTATTTCGTTGATACTGAACATTTCACACTATATGAAAAAGAAGCAAGGTAAGTAATGTTGTCTCTCTGTAAGGAATGAAGTTCGAGCGTTTAAAGGTTTTGTAGAGAAAGCCATCACTGCTGGGAGATTTCAAGTCAACAAATTAATTCTTCGGAATCTTAAAGTTATCTTTTGGCAAGCATGATTCTAGTTGAGAGGATGTAACTTTTAAAATTTTTGAGGAGAGTCAGGTATGATTACAGCATGATTTCTAGCTGCCCAGTGTGCTGCTAAAAACAACTACCTAAATCCATTCTCTAAAGGCAAACCAATAGAACATGTACAAGGTGAAGAATTTAGTTCTGGCTAAATTTTTATTTTTAAACTATATTTTAAACATTTTTAATTTCCTTTTTTTAAGTGTACTTTTCATGTAAGTGGTTATCATTTGTACTTTAAAAAATTATTTTAGAGTAGCTGCACTAATACAAAATACATTTGAGGAAAATTTTCTCCTCCCAGAATTCCTGAATGTTTATTTCAATTTCAGATTTCATACACATTTTATGCTTATTTTGAAAAAAAGTTCAAATTGCTTTTCATCATGGGATCCTAATATAGCTCTTAAACTAATATGTCATTCACAATAAGAAACTGATTTGTTTAATTTATGTTAGAGGGTGACTACAGCCATACTCTGGTTTTGGTTAAAATCAACTATGACTTTTTAAACAGAATGGATTCTGCCTGTGCAACCTCTCATGCATACAATTTTATAGTTATTAAACTATAAACTATATTAAACTTCCATTCAGGGAAAAAAACAGCTTTTACACAGGGAAAACTGCACCTGCACTACACACGTATGGGTGGGCAGGCAAATACTGGTGGATTCAACCCCCTTAACACACATACATACATAATTATGTAAACAGAAGGCGTATGTTTATTATCTGAACTCACCAAGTATAAGAGAATTAGATTATTACAGGATATTAAAAGAGCTACTGGAGTGTTGTGGGGTGGAGGGGTGCCTTTTTTGGTTTATTTATTTTGTCTTTTAGTGCTACCAGGGAGGTATTTCTGTGATGAAAAATCAGGGTCATTTACAACACTAACCTTGAGCAAGGTTTCAGTCGGTTGGCTGATGCTGCATTGCTCATGGAATTGGAGTTTACTGTGGTAAATTCTGGAGTCCTGGAGCAGAGGATGAAAGTCAGACATTCCTGAGTTATTAATCAAGCTCTAGCAATAAATCTCTTTGTAGCCATTGCTTCTCTGCTTCAATTTCTTCATCTGTGGATCACAGGATATCTCTCTTTCAGAGATACAAGCAAGAGAACCAGTAAAATAAATGAATCCTTCACCTTGTAATGTAAACACATGATGCACCTCTCTAGGCAGAGAAAAAGATTAAATAGAAGCAGAAGGATGAAGAAACAAGGAATTAATCCATGTGTTATAATACATTTCTGAGGTCTTGTAAACTAACATAGACTTTGAGGCCACAGCACTGAGCCGTAAGACAAACCTTTCTTGTATTAGTCAAAAGTATTTGAGAAAAGTAGGGAGACAACTGAAGGTCCTGTGAACTTAAGGCTTTCAATTTTATTCTCTTCAGTGAAATCAAAACCATGTCAGTTAAGACAATTATCTGAAGTGTTCTAAAATAATATGTTTCATTTTCTCTTCACCTTTTTTTTTTTATATAATTTTTCCAGCTAAAATGTATAAAGATTATGAAGACAACAGTCCAAGGTAAGTTGCATAAAAAAAGTTTCTTTCTGGCAATGGTGAAATAAGCAATAAAAAATAACAGATGGCTTTGGAGGGATGGCATAGAGGAAAATCCAGTATCTCATGCAGCCTGCCTGGAAACATTGGAGAGCAGGTCAGTTACAGAAAAAAAACTTTCCAAAGAAAACAGGAAAAAAATTCATGTGGAAGAGATGTACTCTAGTCATTTTATCAACAATTAAATAATTGCATGTAATATAATAATTTTATATTCTGAAGGAAGTGCAAGATATTGAGCTAAACCACTATTTACTGTCACTCAAATTCAATAACCTATAATAATTAAAAAGAGCTCTCAGAAAACAATGATAAATTATAGTCAGATGTTTAATAGTTGTGGAGCAATAATTTACACGTATTTACACTTCATACCCGTCTTTTACATATGACATTCAAAACCAGTAGAATGGAGCCTGTTTGCAGCTGCTGAATACCTTTACAAGACTATGTTTCTTATTCCATATTAAAAAAAACCAACCAACCTAAAAACAATCACTTTAGAAAACAGAGATGGAAAGAGTCTCATCTCAACCCAGTTATAAAAGGTCCTTAGGATAAAAATACAAAAGCCTTCACCTGTTCCCCAAAACCAATTGCAATTAGAAATTAACTTGAAGTTGGGAAGTCTCTATTTGTCTATTACTGCACGTTCCCTTGACAAGGGACTGTCTAGGGATGCAATAGGAATGTCACACTGTGCTTCCCACTAGCAATTCCTATTTTATAAACATGCTTAAAAACATTTTCAAGCAACACCAGGTAATGAAACACCAAATACCATTAAAAATCCAAATCTGAACTTTGCTTTTGTCTTCTCCAGTTATGTCAACATAATATATTATATTATTATAGTATTATAGTTGAATCAAGAGCGGACTTTTTAAGAACAACTCACCAAAAGACTAATTTAGTCCTTTAGTTTGTATTGCAAAGTGGTCTCAGAAGACATGAACTGGGCTCCTTCCAGCGATCATTAATATTTCTAGAATTATATCAAACAGTAGCTTAGTAGTCTTGAGATTAGCTTTATAATTAAACTAAGTTACAGGAAAGAGGAGCTCAATTCTTGGCTAGATAACAAATCTCTCTTCAGAATATGGACATTGCCATTTCTTCCCCTTCCGTAAAACTGATATTTCCACCCCCTCTGATATTTTTGTTCCTGTTTTCTAGATCACATCCTATCTGCTATTGTTATATGTGTGTAAAATGTTTAGAGTAGAATAGTGGGATCCTAAATAAAGCATATTCTGTGAATTAAAAGTATTTTTCCATTCCTCTTCTAGCTATGACTGTTATACAGAAGATGACCCAGTTTATGGCAATCTCAATCAAGATATTTTAGGTAAGCTTCACTTTAAGAACATATGTCTGGTCAGAGGCTATATTAAATGTATGGTTAAAATCTGACTGAGCAATACTTTCTCTGTTTCTCAAATAGCAAACTTAAGCATATAACCCTTTTCTACTTCAGGTAGAACTGCAAACCATCATACTGCACTGCTATTTGCAAGACCAGATCTCATACTGAATTTGTTTGTTTTTACACTCCAAATGGTCCTTTTCAGCTAAATATCTCAAAAACAAGAGCTTTCCTACCTGTAAAGCTGCACTATTTGAAATAACAGCTTGATCCACGCGTGTTAAAGCAATCTAAGACACATAACACTCACTGCCCAAAGACAATGCTCCCACAAAAGCTGGCAGAAAAACATCATACTGCACTGCTGTGGCTATCCACAGATCAGCAGCAATGCTGACAAATATGCTGAAAGAAACCCAGTGGCTGAATGGGGAGCAGACATAACTGTTCTCTGCTTTACTGGGCTGGAGTTAATAATCCTTGGCAAAGAAATACCACATTAAAGGCAGAAACATCATATAACTGCAGCTGGAGCTAAATATGCTGAGGGTACAACTCTCAAAGCCCTTATGGTGTTAAAGTAGTATTTAAGTAACATGAACACAACTTTTTTGCTAGCCTTGTTTGGGGCTAAGCAAAACAAAGTGCTTGAACTGCAGGGGGGAAGAAAACAAACCAAACCAAACCAAAAACCAACCAAACTCAACTTTTTCATACAAGGTTTGCATAAATTTAACTAAGCCAACACTCAAATGCATTAACACTACAAAAGTCTGAAAACTGTAAGGAAGTAATCTGTTTTACTGATGGCTAAAATAAGATATGGCATGAGAAAATAACTTGCACCAAATTTACAGAAAACTGAAAGTAGAGTCAGGAGTAGAATTTAATCACCAGCTGCTGCAACTCACAGCCTCTTTCTCAGGCAAAGAAAAATTTGCCTGTGCTGAAAAACACATCAGTATGTGACTACCCCCTAATTGCAAGATGTTCTCCGAGTAGTCCAAAATGATCACTTAGCGAATAATGAGAAACTTCCCATCCATATGAACAGAAAATGATTTTAATTTTCACACTACACGTGTCTGAATTTCTTAGCTATTTGCCCCTCCATAAATAAAGGGAGAGATCTGTGTGTGATTTCAAAACAAAACAAACTTCTACCAAAGAAAACTGGGAGGGGGGGAGTTAGTTCTGTAACAGGGAGGATCTGTTGGTCTGATCTTTTAAAACTCACTAATGTGTCTTAATAACTAAAACACTTTTCTACTTTGATAAATTATAGAGGAATGTTGTTACGAGCAGATGAAGTCCCAGACTCAAAGGCCAGTTAACCAACTACAGGTATCTTTAATTTTATTCAGCTTTTCTGAATGAGGGTAATGTGGTCTGTCTGAGAGTTCTTGCGTTTATCCCATGCCAATACAGAACAAAAACCTTCACACTGCTTATCACAAAAATTACCATGCATTACTATTTCAGTTCATTAAGGAATTTAAGCACAGACTTGACCCTTCATCCAATCTGGGTCATTAATGAGGGAGGAGGAGTTACAGATAGCTCATTTCCATCCATATGGCATGATAAAGCTCAGTCACAGGCATACAGATCAGGCTGAATTAAGCCTGCATCTACTGCTTATGTAAAAAATTAATTTTATTTATTTTGGACATTAACCAAGTGAAAACACAAGCTGCCATCACATGATAATCATGAGTTTGACTGGTTCTTTCCCGCCCAGCACAAAATCTATATGCCTTAACAAATGACAGATGATTGCTTTTCTAGCAATTTGTATTTTGTTGAGATACCTGGATGCCTAAAAGCATGCAAGCTTCAACTGAAATTTGTCTGTAATTGAAGCATCCCTAGCACCAATTTCCTGAGTTGATTTCCAGGTATTTCATAAGGACCAATTTCAAAATTCTCTCTCAAGATACTTCCAGGGGGTTATAATTTTTTTTTCTTTTTTTTAAAAGAAATCCTAGACATTTGTTTGCTTTAACTTAATGAAAAGAAAATAATATAAGGACCAATTTCAAAATTCTCTCTCAAGACACTTCCAGGGGGTTATAATTTATTTATTTATTTATTTTTTTAAAGAAATCCTAGAGATTTGTGTTCTTTAACTTAATGGAAAGAGAATAAACTGTGAAAATTCCAATGTCAAAAGTGCTTGACAATTTGGCTTGAAAAACAGAGGCAGGCAGGGGAAAGACAAACAAAGCATATATTTTGCACTGGAAATGAGATTATATATACAAACAAGAATCACCCATCTTTGGTTTTCTGCACAGACAAAGCCTGTTAAAAATGTTGTTGCCAATAACTGGATTTTAATTTAAAAAAAACCCCAAAAAACGAAGAAAACCAGATCAAATAATGTCTTGCATCCCAAACAACTTGGACTGATTATATAAACTATCCTCATTCCCATAATCTTTCCAATAATAAATTGATGAATTTTTCCTTACTGCCACTATCTTAAGAACATGAATCACTTACCATTAAGTTATGTCAGTTCGTTTTCTGTGCTGTCACAGCTTAATAATTTGTACGTTTAATGATTTACGTTTAATCATTTACAGCTAGTTTGGGTAAACTTCTGCCACTGATTACAGCGTAGACATACTCAAAGTCTTAGACGTAATTTTAAAGCAAGCATAACTACTGAATGTTAAACACATCGTGAATTTCCTTCTAGGTGGAGTCTGCCAATCAGATGTGTTACGCCTCGCTTGATCACAGCGTCAAGGGAAAACGCAGAAAACCAAGGAGAAAGAAAGACCCTTCATCAGAGGAGGATGAAGAAGAAAGATCATCTAACCCCACCATAACAGCTTCCAAAGTTAGCATTTACCTCAATAGCGAGCAGCTGGCTGCAGAAAACACAGCAAACATAGAAGCCATTCACGATGATCCCATCAGATTAATGGGTTTGATTCATACTACAAAAGGAGAGAACGTTTGAAGTGGCTTCATGAACTAAATGTGTAATTGTAAAGCGAGATCTGCTTGTTCATTCTGGAGGAACAGTGAATGATTAGAAATAATATCCTGGCAAACTGACATCCAAACAATGGTATAAAATGGGCAAGTGTTCCAAAGCGTCGTCCAAGGACATTTACAGACTAAGCAAAAAATAAGTATAGATCCAGAATGCCACTTCGAAGGACCTGCTCTTCTGAAGACATTTTGAAAGGGAGAGGGAGTTGCAGAAGCTGGTATCTCAGCATTCACATGGTATTGATTCCAATAAAAATTAATCCTTTGTTTAAAATGATTATCAACTTTCAAATAGTCCCAAAAGACTCACTCTGTTGTCTGCAGAGCTCTAGCAGAGTATAACTATTCTTCTATACAGGTTCTAACAATACTTTTGGAAGGAAATCGTGTTTCGTACTTGCACTTAAAGATTTAATTGTTTTCCCAATTAAAAACTGATCTGCTGTTCAACATTGTGTACTTTCCTACTGTGACTGGTCCATGATAATAACACAATATATCCACAGCTAATTGGAGGATAATTTAACAGCTTGTTTAATGTAGTAATTGTACATCTTGCAAGATTTAACAATATCTTTATATATCTTTAGTTTCCTTCTGTGAGCAATACCACAATACGCCTCAAATCTCAGCTCCTCTAACATAATGCTATATCCAGCTATATTCAAGATTCCACAAAGATATTGGCAAATGATCTGTAACAATAAATCCCATAGGGATTTTTTTTCCTTCTAATATTCCGTGTGATGTTTAAATTCCTATTGGATTTTACATTGTCATTGTTACCAACTGTTTCATAAAAGTAGAAAGAGCCTTTTATTTCCCCAAATAATTCACATACTGTGTGCAAATTCATCTTAAGACTTTAAACTCATCACATGGTAAGCTTTTATAGGACTGGGGATTTGGTTTTATATTCTGGGAGTCATTAAGTAGTAGTAGCAGGAAACAGGCACGTTGATGTAACATGCCTACTTCTAGGTGTCGGACAGTTCTGCCTTCTCAAAACAAGGATATTAGTGCTTTTAAAATCCACATAGAGCACAGCATCAAGGAGCTTGAAACTCTCAAGCACATGGAGAGCCCTGCAAGTGTTTCAAGCTCCTGAAGGAGATAGCCCTGAAAGCAGTTACAAAACACAAAATAAATAAAAAGCCCATAGTACAAAGAGCCAACATCTCTCCTAAAAGCAGAAGTGGATGGACACATCCAGAGATGGGAAAAATTTCTGAAGAAAAAAAAGTAAAAGAAAACAGTTCTTTGATAGCCTGGTACATGTTTGGTTTAGTTCATAGTTAAGGAGCCTCTTAACATTAACTTCCATACCAGACCAAAAGGAAGGGGCCAACCCGGCAGCCAAAACTGTCCAGTATCACCGCCCGTCTTGTGCTAGTACCTGCTTTTGTGTGCGGAAATCAAGTCAATATATGTTTGTCTGTTACACCCAAGAAACAAGAGACTTGGAATTACAGCGACAGAGTTATCATGGTCTTAAACCAACCTCCATTGGATAAACAAAAGTAAATACTGTTGAAGAATCAATAAAAACCACTTTAATAGAGAACCATATTAAACAATGACCCTAAGATCCTAAAGGGGGAAAGGAGGAAGGCAAATCCAAAACCAAAGATCCAAAGCTAAACACCAAGATATCAGTGCAGGAATTGCTAACTTAATTTGGTTAGATTGGAAGGAATTATACTTTGTTCCACAGTAGGAACAAAATAAATAATAAAATACATATCATCATACTCTTGCTTAGACTCACATATCAAAATTGTTTGAATAGCATTAATATGTAAAATATTTAGATAAAATATTTCCATTTAGCTGGCACCAATCAGATGCAATACCCAGCCCTCTGAGATTATTAAAAGAGAAAGCTTTCTTAAACAATCTCTAAAGAAAATAAGCACAGGCCCAAGAGTCTATTTGTTACTATTTTCCAACATACACATGAAACAAGGGATGCTGTATTTTCATTTAATACAATTTGTGTCCACTTTGAACCAAAGTTTCTATTTCCCAGTTTTCTCACAGCATTTGAACTCTTGATTATGCCTTTCCTCTAAAAATCCCAAAGTCAAACAACTTCTACGAGTTACCTAAATTCAACCCGTCATTTCAGCCCAATCATTAATTTAATGGAAATAAAGTACACACTTCTCTCACGGAATGTACATGCAACAGTAAGTCCACTTCATGGGATTTAGGTACATCTAGTTTCTTCCGTATTCTTAAGTCTTCATTGTTCAGTTCAGCTATTTATTCACACCAATTTTCAGCAGCTGCTGTCCCTTACAACATAGCTTGCTAAAACAGCAGGACACTTTTGTAAATATTCCCCTTCCTTCAACAGATACTTCCTTTCCACATTTAATCACTGCTTCCATTAAATTATTCACTGCTGCTCTCAGACTTCATTTCAGGATCATTTTTAATGGTCTATCAACTGTTTCCAAGGCACTTCTAATGCTGCCACAGTCCAGATTTAGCTTTATTCCTCCAACTCTTTACCCCCTGTCTGCTTAAATAAGCAACTGAATGACTTTTTTTTTTTTTTTTTTTTAAATGACTTTTTGGGGTAGTTTTCAAATGACTACCAAATTCGTACATGAAAAAGCATATTCAACAGTGCTCCATCTTCAAGCCATTAGAGAAAGACCTACTTAAACTATCATATATTACTTAAATTCTTTTTGTATAAATAGTTTCAACTAATCATAACAAAATAAGAAAAGGAGATGCTAGGTCTAGGTTTATACTGTCTCAGTAACCTAGCCTGTTTTTCCAGGGTTACAAACATTCTGAAGCAGAAGGAAGCAGTGTGAAGCTGTTTTTATTAACAGTAAGCTTAGCATTCAAATAACAGTTCAATAGAACAATAAACAAAGAGTAAACAAGGAAATATGGTAGAAAAAGCAAAACTGTTTGGAAGGGAAGAAGAACGGAGCAGAGAGATCAATGAGCACCACGAAATCAAGTCTAGGACAGGTATACTCTAGTAGTCATTACAGCATCTGACAATCGCTGCAGATGCATCTGTTATACAGTACTGTGAAGAAAAACACCACAGACTTCTGGTCATATCATGCTTTTAAGAGTCTGCTGACTGAAGTTGGAGCATCAAACTCTCAAAATAATTGTGTAACTTTCTCCCATTTTTTTGTTAACAGCTAGCACCAAAAATATGGGCTGAGTTTGTCCTCCAACACCACAAAGCTTTTCAAGAACTACCTTTTAACATTTTTTCAAAGTCATTCTCATGGAGACAATGAACTATTGCTCTGTTGTTTAAATAAACTAACCGTCCTACCTGGGTAAGCCTGCATTCAAGTTGCCATGTAGAAGTCATATCTAGAGACAAAACATATCCAAAACCCAATTCCAGCCTACCTTTAAGTTACTTTAGCACAGAAAACAATAAGAGTTATGTAAACTCTCAATAGTGGTGTATCAAGAAACACTGGGAAATAATTACCTCAAATCCCAGGAGGGTAGTTCATAAAGCATATTCCTTACAGTTCATCCATGTGTGGAACAGGAAGAAAAATGAAAAGACAACCTTTTATTGCTGTTGCTGAAGGAAACATTTACAAATGATGAGGGACAGAACGTGTGTGCGTGTGTGTGTGTATATTGCAGAAGTTCTTGTCTTATCGCAGAGTAAACCTCAGTGAAGCTGGCTTCTTGTTCCATTCAAGAACAACACTTAAGATCTTGGTTTTAAGAGCTAAAATAACAAAAAAACCCCTCCTGTTTGCTCAGAAATTAAGTAAAGCCAAAGGAAAATATTTTTTTTTTCCTTTTCTGGAGCTCAGAAAGCTGACAAGGGGCAACGCTGATAAAACAGTGTACTTGACCTGACACTTCCCACTAAAACAATCTCCTTGCCAAGAAAGAACACAGCAATCAAAACCTGTGGGACCCTGCCATATAATTCTCAAGGATTTGCTGTAGGTACACAGACTCCTCCTGAGAATTCACATACCTGAAATAAAATGTTGAAAGCAGGCATTTGTTCAGAATAGGTTTTTATTTAGAATATATATTGTGTCAGGTGGAATTTTGTCAGAACACAGAATATAACTATCAAATCATTAAAAATAATAAAATTTTATTAAACAACCAACTTTGGTGAGCTACTTAGAAAAATTTAACATTAAAATTACATAGCAGACATATTATAAGGCATAGGGTATAACACTGCATTTGGATGATCCAGCCCAGTTTAGATTTTCTGATTAATTTAGTACTGTTACATCCATAAAGTGTGAATAGGCAGGAATCCAGCTTGTTACTTATCTTATTACTAATATGTTAAGAACCAAAGCTTATTTGCATATAAAAAGATAATACAGATTATATTCTGTTATTATAAACACTACTAAATACATAATTTAAACTTAGCCATAGAAAGGAACCCTGTTTCCCTGCAATACCTGATGAAGCCAAAGAAGTAAGTGCCCTGTCAGAAGGGACAAACCAGTTCCTGAAGATTTATATTACAGGGCAGTGTAAATCAGGAATATAATTGTATATTATATATATAATATAGCATTGATTCTTAGAAGAAGAAAGAAAAATAAAACAGAATCAAACTTTATAAAACGAAATTTTTATCTGTAGCAGTCCATGAATGCTCCTTGGGAAGTTTTGACCAGGAGGTTGTCGAAGGGATTGCTAGGATTTTGGTCTTTCCCATCAGTGTAGCTTAGTTTTCTGGATACCCTATAGAAAAGAATTGTTTAGATGAAGTGAATTACACAAAAATATTATTGTTGTTGAAACTCCAATAAACAGAATGAAATTGAAACGAAATGCCAAAACAAGAGTTCTGAACATCCTGACTGTGAACAGCAGCAGGATTCCTTGTCTGCATTCCTATGTGCTTTTAGCTGGAGAAGAAACTTTTCATCCTATGTCATTTTAATATCTCAGTAATGCCACTGCATTAACCTAAAT